GCTAGAACGAGCAGACCAGTATGAGGTAGTGCGCGGGGGGGGGGTTGAGAAAGAGTTTTAGGGGATGCTGCTGCCATTTCTTTCCAACTCTGCCACAAAAATGTCTGAATAAACAGGGCTTTGGTGCCTTGGCTGTTGGGGGAAATCAGTTCTGCCACCCCAGCTACCGCACCTAGTACACCCTTTCTCCCCCTGTGAAAACAAGGGCTAGTACCACCCATGAGTGTATCAGAACAAAACTAATTTTAATGACTAATACAACAAATACGACTTTAATAACTAGCCATTGAAATGAATGAGGTTTATTAACAAGGACAAGCAGAGTAGCAAAACCAAAATTAATGCTTACCAGTCCACTGACTGCCAAGCTGAGATGTAGTGCTTGCCATGAAAATCCTTTCATGGCTGGGTCTAAGAGACTTAGGGACTCTCTTCCCCCTTTTAAAAGGCTGCCACGGACCATTTTTCATCAGGTATCCTAATTCTAGGTCCCTTTTTCCATTGGGTACCTTGGTTCGGGGAGCCAGTTTGGTGTGGTGGTTAAGGCAGCAGGCTAAAAACCGGGAGACTGTGAGTTCTAGTCCACCCTTAGGCACAAAGGCAGCTGGGTGACCTTGGGCCAATCACTCTCTCTCAGCACTGGGAAGCAGGCAATGGCAAACCACGTCTGAAATCTTGCCAAGGAAATTGCAGGGATCTGTCCAGGCAGTTACTGGGAGTCAGCACTGGCTCAAAAGCACAAAACCAAGTAATCTTGGTTCTAGACCTCTACATTTTAGAAAAAAATGATGTAGAGAAATAAGGCAGTCTGGCCCTTCTCTCTAACAGTCTTATTACAGGCACATGAATAGCCAATGGCAGCACCAAGCTGATGTTGGCTGATCCCAGAAAACCAGTAAGTGGAGTTGGAGGTGGTCAGTATCTGGATAAGACAGCACCAGGAAATCCCAGCCATACAGGCTGGATTGGAAAGCAAAAAAAAAAAGGGGGGGGGATGCTCAAGGGTGTCCTTAGATGCATGTTTTATTTGAAAACAGAAAATGCAGTTACTCTGTTTTCACTCTTATCTTGGCTATCGGTATTATTAGCATTTTTGTTATATTCACTGAGAATGGTTACAATGAAAGACCAACTCTCAAACTACTAATAACTATATCAAGCAATTTACATTTACATCCTATCTTTTCTTCAAATAGCTCCTGGTAGCGTGTGTGTCTTTTATGATAGCAACGACCTTGTGAAGGAGATTGTATTGAGAGGCGAGTTAACATTCACATATCAAGCCAAAACATAACATGTTTGTTTTTGCATGTAGTTGAGCTTTGTAAATTAGTACAGTATATACTAGACCTGGTTTCTCGACCTCAGCAACTTTAAGATGTGTGGACTTCAACTCCCAGAATTCTCCAGACTAGCTGTTGATCAAAGTGTCATGGTGATGGTGCTGCTAGGGAAAAGTCCACAGGAAGGATAGAGAAGGGTGGAATCAGTACTGTAGTGCAAGTGGCAGATTTCTCTTGCCTCCAATGCCAGAGAGTCTTCATGCCTCAAGTGATGAACTGTCTTGGGGTGCATAACATTAGTCTACCCATACACTGAGACCTTTATAAGGCCCCCTGAGATGTGGCCTTTCTCAGTGGCCGTGTCTCAGCTATGGAATACTCATTCTAAGAAGGCTCACTTTCTATCTTATTAACTTTTGGGCACCAGATGAAAAAGGTATTTCTTCAAGTTTTGAACATTTTATTTCGTGATGCAATTTGTTCCGTGCTGATTTTTCTCACGGCTTCTCTGTTCTTAGTTTTGAGTTTGTACTTTTCTTGTTTGGGCTTGGTTTGTGTGTGCTGCAAAGGTATTCTGGAATATTCATTAAATACATAAGACAAAATATTGTCCCATCCAACATTCCGTGAGGTTTTTTGGCCATTGGAAGGCAACACAGTAGCTCAAGATTAATCAGAGATACTGCAACCAAGATAGTGAGGCAGCGTAATAAATGCAGTCCGTTGTGCAAAAAATGGGACATGGTGATTCAAAGTGTGGCAGTTGGGTTCACACAATATGCTATGCTATGGTTTGCATAATCCATGATTTGCTAGGTTCATGCAACCTGATAAATTAGAAATCATTATTTCTAAGCCTACATTATGCCTTAAATATGAGGAATGAGCCATGTTCTTGCCTTGGATCATTTTTCCTGTTCATCATTTCCCTGTTTTTATTGGGAACTGGTCATCACCCATTTGATGGAAGTATTTCATTTTTGCTACCAAAGACCTTTTCATTGCCACTGCAAAGGGCTGAATTTGTAAAAGCAAGCATGTGATAGATTCAAACCATTCCAGCAGCCCTTGAACCAAATATAGCTGCATTTATAATTTTGACTGAAGGACAGTTGGGTACTCTGGGACTAACTGGTTCTAGAAAACACACATTTGAGAAGGCTCATCTAATACTCAGGTTCCACCTAGTGGGCAAAGTGTGCAAGCTTTGCACTGTTCTCCACAGCAATGTAGCAACCAAACATCATGCTGACATTAAGACAAATCCACACTGGTATGGGGATGATACCCCATGGCTCCGAAACATAATTCCAACTCAACGGTCCTTTTTGTCATTGTGGCTGTCTAGAGACGGTCATCTTTGATCATGACCTTTGAAGTTACAACTGTTTTCACTCCTTTCTAACAGAAAACCATGGCTTTAAGATTTTAGTTTTAGAATGTTTATTTACAAAAATGTGTTTCACATGTTTCAGTTTTGACTGTGCATCTGTGCACAGATTCAATACAGACTCTATAATGAGAACACAAACTAGAGTGTTTGTATTTTAATTCACACAATAAAACATTCTGGCTCATGCTATTGTGTGTGTGTGTGCGTGCGTGTGTGATGGATAAACATGAATACAGCTGACAGTGGGTTGGGAATGCTTTGATGTGGGGAGAGGTGCCGTGAAAACTAAGGTTTCTTCTTCTTGCTTCTATTGCAGTTCTGCAGGTTCTCTCATTCCTATGACTTAACATTTAGCATTAGACTTCTTTCTTTCCCACAAAACAGACTTGACATATGTAAGTCTGACATACGCCTTGAGCAAATGACCCCTATTGCCATTTTGACATAGCATCATCAACCCTTTCTGGTGGCTTCATTTTATCAACATGTTTGAGTGCTTCAGTTAGTGACCAAATACTTGGGCTCTGGTTTTAAAAATGATGCAAGAGGAGTTAAATAACTGCATATGATGATGGTGCTAGTCAAAAACGAATGAAGAAAATACCCAGTTGCTTCTCTGTCATTTTAAAGTCAAGTCCCTTTCGCATCAAACTTGACTCCTGATGCCTTGTTTTTTTTGGCAACTATGGAATTGCCAAGATGCTCTTTTCATGTCCCTGTCTTATGTACAGCCCTGGTAATTCCTGGTGGTCCCTCATCCAAGTGTTAACTAGATCCGATCCTGCTTAGTTTTTAAAATTCAGTCACTGGCTTGATGCTATATACAGCTACACCTGCCATTTTAGCCCTCAGCTAATTTTCTGCTATATGGGTTAATATTTTAAAAAAACCTTTTAAAAGATAGTTCTAAAGCAACTGTGCAATATGATTTCAATTTTTAAAAAGTTTAAATATAATTTTTAAAATAGGTTGAACATTTCTGATTCAACATGGCAGGTGCCTACAGGACTACACAGTGGAAGAGCAGCAACTGGATAGTGCTGGGTCCAATTACCTAGATCCATTCAAATCTTTACTTAAGACCCATTTTCTTAAGTAAATTTCTTCTAACTGCACTAGTTTCTGCCTGATTGGAGCATTCCCTTTGACCCCCTTCCAGCCTTACTATTATCTGCCAATTGTTATTTTATCTCTTCCACATGTGTACTTATCTAATGCAGAAGATTCTTCTTTATGTTTATTATGATCACCTAGTGTGATGGTCATGCTAAATCCATGTTAACCTGAGACTGTAGCAATAGAAAACAGAGGCGAAGAAATTTCAAGATTTGACCAAGACAGTACCTTGACAACACTGCCAAATCAAGTAGATATGAAGTTCCATAAAATTTATTGTTAACTTGTTTTAAACCATTCCCTTTTTAAAAGTTCTTACACATCTGCAACATGGAACTGCACATGACAATTACATAATTTGCATGTATATTTCTCTTTGATCAAGAATATGCACATTTCAATTGACAAGAGGACAAGTACAAAACATTAGCATCACAAATAATTTGACATTGGGATTCATTCCTCCAACACAGGAGAGAGAGGAAGGGTTTTCTGCTCTACATTTGAAAAGCTTAGAAATACATATTTTATTAGGTGATGGTAACCAACCTGGTCACAATTAACAGAAAGATTTGGAATACTCTCAAGCACAAGTTTAAGTGTTCAGGGAAAATGAAATATATTCCCCCTTGAACTGTTCCATTTAAAATGCTCAGGCATGAGTTTTACATCCAGCCTTAATCCTCAGTCTTAGTTTTCTGTAATGAGACTATGCTAGATGTGTTACTCGTTGATGTAGTCTTTGGAGGATTATTAAATACTATTCCTAATCTGCTGCAGAAATGGGATTATTGGGCAGACAATCTCCTCCCCTTGGATTTCTATTAGTAAGCCATCATTGGCTCTAATGTATCTAATATACAGGTAGTCCTCATTTAGTGACCACAATTTAGACCAGCAACTCAGTTGTTAAATGAAGCAATCACTAAGTGAAACCACAACTGTGCATATGATCTCACTTCAGCTTTCCTTTTGCTTTACAGACCTGTGAAGCTCGTAAATGCGAGGATTGGTAGTAAAGTTACTTTTTCATCACTGTCATAACTGTGAATGGTCCCTAAACGAGGACTACCTGTATAAGGATCCACCTCAGGGATATTTCCTTAAGATAGTACTCTTGTATGATATGCATGTTGCAAGGTAGAAGTACAAAAAGCATCACTAGGAGGCTGTATGTGGTGTTCCCTTCTGTGCTCCCCAGAGACCCTCCCAGAATTTTTGGTCTTTTTTCACTTTTTGAAATGGGGAGAGCTTAAATGGATCTTAGTTCCATTTTTTGGAGCATGGCCCTTGACCTATTGCATAAAGCACTGCGTGGCCCTCAGGCGTAAGTTATGTATCTGAGTCCAAAGGAAATTTGGCACTGGAGATGATGGCATCATCTGCCAAGAGGAAAAGGCAAGGCGCAAAATGCAGTCCTCACAAAGGCCTAAATGAAAGAAGGTCCTACAAATGAAAAGTCTCGTTAATGATTCCATGCCTTAAGTGCCCAAGGACTCATAAAGGTCCTAAAAGGAACATTTCTGTTTTCATGTCATGCAAGTCTTCTAACCAGGCCCAGCATGCAAGAGTCATGAACTGAAAGCATTTGCCTCAGCATCAAGTGGCAACTGATGCAGTCCAGGGCGGGGAATCTATGGACTCTCAACTCTCGAATAAATTACAGCTCCCGGCACCCCTTACCAATGGTCCTGCTGTCTGGGGCTACTGGAAACTGTAGTTCAATTACTTTCGAAGGGGAAAAGGTTCACTCACCCTGACGCATTCCATCATGGGTTTATCCCCAAGTGTTCCCTATCAATGTAATGACCACATAGGCTTATTTCCAATGTGAAATCAACACCGTTACAGAATTTGTGCAGTTATCAAAATGTCCCAGTGTTTAAACAGTAATAGTAGATATCTTGCTTTCTTGGTATCTTTGTCTCTATTCTTGTAAATTCTTTGTGCAGTGGGGCTATTTAAGCATCCAATGGACAATGGCTGACATCACTGAGAATTAACATCATAATTCCACTACACCAACTTTTCCCAACTTTGCATCCTCCAGAGATGCCAAATTTCAATTCTCACTATTCCTAGCTGATTAGGAATAACAGAAGTCCAACAAAAATGAAAGGTAATTAATTGGGGAAAACTACTCTATACAAGCACCAAAGTTATATAAAAAAATAAAAGATACTGTAAGGAAGTAGCTATAGTTGGTAAAAAAAAATAAAATGCAAGTTTTGTGCCCTTTCCCCAAATATATCAGTGCCTATCCCCTCTCCTGCAGGAAAAAAAAATAGAAGAAATAGCAGCTATTTCACTTGTATCAACCAACTAACCTCCCCATTTGCAGTCTCTTTCATTACACAGGATTAGGATAATAGTATTTTACTTCTGGATCCTTCAGTCATGTAAAGGAAAGTGTCCTTTACAGCCCAGTCTAATGTATACTTTCTTACGCATAAGCCCCAGTGAGTTCAAGAAGAGTTACTCCGAAGTGTGCCCAGAATTTCCACTCTACTTTATCTGGGAATGCACTTAAGATTCAGAAGTGGCAAGGAACAGAGAATAATCAGGAATGTATTAGGAACATAACTGGACTGATTTAATGACCCAGCAACATGGGGAGAGTATCACTGTATTGATCCAAAAATGTTTTAGTAACCACCTGCAAAAAGAAATCATATTTATCGGCAATTTCCATAAAGCTGTAGATGAACTGCAAATATTTTCCACCTTAAGTAATGCTGCCAAATCATCTCCTATTTTCCAAAGAGTAAAGCACAATCTAGAACAATGTTTGCTAGTGTAAATCCAACTGAAAATACTACAGTTCATTCTAAAGAGTACATTTGTGCAACTTCCATTTCAGTTCAATGGGACTGAACAGGCATACTCCCCGAGACATAGGATTATCAAAATTCAAAATCTTTACAGAAAGGTACTTCATTTTCTCCTTAAGTACAACTAGCTCTTTATAATTACTTTTTTAAAGGACCCAAAACTTAAACCATGCAGCTGACTTTCAGAAAGAAAGACATTTCAGACTAGTCAGTGTAAGCTGTTAGCTACAAAAGCAATAAGTCAGAGAGAGTCCATAAAATGTGTTACACAACAGATTACATTAGTCCTTGTTACTGCGGCTATATAGGAGTTCCTTAACTGAGTTATTAAATTCAATAAATGCATTTATTCAGTTCAATAAATGCATTCCCTTTTTTGTTACATGTGTTAATATGGCCAGCAATGGAAAGATGATCATTGCATTATGAAAAACAATGAAATGTATTATTCAAGTGAATGTGCCTCTCCCATTAAGATGTGTGCATGCAAAAGGTATCCTTACACAAATTAACTTGGCCTTTAGAAATGCAAAACAAAGAGAGATAATGAAAATGCTGAACATAGTTTCAACATTCCCCAATTTTCTGTCCTTCAGATGTGTTTGAGTACAGCTCCCAGAATTCCGAATCACATGACTGTTCACTGCATTGGTTGGGGTTTATAGGTGTAATCAGCTTATCTGGAAGGCACCTAGCAGTGAATTAATTTAAGCTAACTAAATAGTGAATCACTGGCTGTTGACCACACTATATTATAGTCCATCTCTCAAAATAAAACTCTGCCATTGTTGCTCCTAAGCACAGATGAGAAAGGAGGAACATTGTCCATTGAATTAACAAACTGACCCCATAAAAATTTTTCACTGCTACTAAAACAACAGGCCCAATTCAACAAGATCTTATTGAAATCATTAGACAGCGTCATTGCCCGGTCTGCTGTACAGCACAGGCAAACCTATGTACTAAGTTAAAACCAAAAAGAGGGGGGGAAATGGTATTTTCAATCTAGAATTGGGTATTAGGGTATGTCAGAAATTAAAATAAAGCAAAAGAAGTTGCAAAGGTCCATTGCAAGGAAAAAGCAGTAATTCTTAATTCCTATTTTGTGTCTGTCTTCTGGTCTAGATGATATTGCTGTTGGACTCAAAATTGGCTCAATGACCATGCTCAAAAAGGGCTCATTTCCACTTGAAGGAAAGTTTCAAGTGGAACGCTATCACAATATCCTATGCTGTTCAACGTTTTCATCAATGACTTGAATGAGGGAGTTGAGGATGTTTGTCAAGTCTGCAGATTGACACCAAGCCGGGAGCAGCTAATGCTTTTCAGGAACGAAATAAGATTCAAAATATCTAATCAGGCTTAAGTGATGGGTTGAAGTGAAGAGGATGGAGTTTAACACAGAGAAATGTTAAATTCTGCATTTGGGAAGACCAAAAAATGAAAGGTGCCAGTACAGGAAGGGGGAGACCTGGCTGGACAGCAGTGTATGTGATAGGATCTGGATGTCCTTACTGACCAGAAATTAAATATGAGCCAGCTGTGTGATGCAGCCGCTACAAATGTTATCTTGGGGTGCATTAATGTGGATTAATACAGAATCCAGATCGTGAGAGTAATTATTCCACTCTACTCTGCCTAGTCATAGCCCACTTGGAATACTGTGTCCAGTTTGAAGCATCAGAGTTCAAAGGATTTGCTCAACTAAACTGATAACAATATTTTAGCTGAGTATAACATTCTAGACCCCATCTCTCCCCTACACGAAATCTAAACTCCAAGTGCCACAATGCTCAAATCAGCCTAGTGCCATTTGCTCAGTGGGGAGAATTTTTCCTTTTTCATAGAGCAGTGAAGGAAATGAAAAGGAAGATGAAGCAGCAAAGACCAGCAAAGAAGATTTCCCACTTTTTCTTCTCCACTTGTCCAGAGCGAGGATCCAACTGCACATTTATAATTGCCATAAAGAACTTGGGGAAAAGTCTAATAAAACCTGCATACTAGGAGAAAATATTCATTACCTCATCGAGCACAGACTTGGTGGTTAGTGGTGATTTGAGCTGGGGGATATGCTTGGGAGAATTAGCATTAAGAATCTTAATAGGGATGTTTAACAAGTATCCAAGAAGGCAGTGACAAGGAGCTTTATGCCTGGACAGAACAGATCAAGCCATAGAGGTAACAACTTCTGCATCCGTCTGAGTCCCTTCTGGGCGTTCCATTGGCCAGAAGATGCTCTTGCACACATATGAGCAAAGCATCTTCCAGAATGACACAAAACAACATGACTAAAAGTTTGTGAAGGAGCTTCAGAGGGGAGCTTTGCGCAAACATTTGTTCAATAACTCTTAGAGACTTTCCCAGCCCTAATGTCTGATCCTTTTTCTTACCTGTCAATTATCTCATTCACTTTATTCTCTTTGGTTTTGGCAGCCAAGCTTGTTTTTAGTTGATGAACCATTTGGAAGAAACCTCAGGAAAGACAGCTGGAGGTTGCAGAAGTAATGGGGGTGAATTGTAGGGTGAAACTTAAGCTTCTGACTGTTCAACTTACTTTCTGCCATCCATTTTCCACTCTCACATTAGTGTTAATAAATGGGCTGTTTGTCCTTGCAGAACCAGGATATGGGGCTACAATTTTCTTCTCCCCCAAATCTTTTCAATAATTTCCTCTTTATGAGCAACACGTATTCCCTTTAGAAAACAATCACAAGATGTCATAACTGGAAATACTCGTCTGTGAATTCCTTTTTCTCAGAGAATTCAAGGAAATTGTAGCCAATAGAAATCAGTAACTTTGATTTGCATTGGACCACATCAAAGAGGTCAGCACGGCATGAGGTATGTACAGTGGCCTGCTAACTGTACACTGTTGTGTCACTCAGTTGAAAGCATTTCCCAAGGCACAGAAAATGTTTACAATGAGGACCTGAACTCAAAAGTTAAGTAGCAATAAAAAAAATGAGGAAATTAAATAAGTCAACCCCCATAAAAAAGGAAAATACATTTGAAAAAATTGTCATATCAACAGCTGACTCAGCACTTTCCAGATAAGTAGACACAGGCAGACAGCTTTTTCTTCCCAGTTACATGCATTTGTTTTCAGTTTGATAAATATAAAGTGACAAAACTGGATCACCCATGTAAGTTCTCCCTGCTTCGTTTGACTGTGAGATATTTCTTTTAACTGAATTATTCAGTCTTTCAGCAGTGTTCTCCAGCCAATGCAGATTCCTTATCCAACTGTCAGACATCGCTCTGATTATGACGAATACACATTTATTGAGTCTGTAAGTACTGTGCAAAGAAGAAAAGTGAGTTCTTGCTCCTATGATGTGAGTTTTGAATAACTTGGGGGAGAAAACCTTCGTCTCAGATATTTGAGGACATAGAGAGGAAGACAGCTGACTAGGGTGATCACAGTCACCTTCCATAAGAATGATAAGGTTGTTATGAAGTAAACATCTACAAGAAAGAAGAAGATGGTTGTCTGTCATGTACTGTAACTAAAAAAACATGTTTTCACAGCTAGTTTTGTTAGCTTTTAATAAAAATACAGATTAAGAATCCCATTGCAGGTGTTATCTTAAATAGTCCATCTATTTTGGTAGCAACTATAATGGAGTTATGAACTCTGAATCACTGAATTAACAGGAAACTCTAATGATACCAGTTTGTTGCTTAGCAAAACCCCCGCCAGTTCATGGCAATACCATAGCAATGAGTTTTAATTTTACCTTTGGGGCCCATTTGTTTTCCTATCCCCAGCCTGCTGAGTACAGAGAAAAAAAATTAACTATAGCAGTTCACATGGATCCAACAGGCCTCATATTAATCCTCAATTAAGGCTACCAGTTGCAAAAATCCAGATGACTATTAGATGGCAATAAAAAAAAAATTAAAATTGTCTCTTTGCAGCATTCTAGAAGCCTTCTGGATTTTTACAGCACAGTTCTGATGGCCCTACGTCAATGCTAGTAGAATTCTGCCTAGCAGATTTTTAGTGACAGTGGAAGTTTTCTTTACATCACCAAGGGCCAATTCTAGGGGCAGATGAGATGACTGGAAAGATGATTTACTCATTTCAGCCATTTCCCATAGTCTTTCAGCGCAGGATTATTCCCTAACATATTTTCTTGCTAAATAATGTCTGGACATTTTAAAAGGTAGAACAGGACTCTTAAGACCAACAAAATGGATTTAAATTTATAACTGGAAAATAAAACTCTGACTTTTTAAAATAAAATCAAGAGAGTTATACTTTGAAGTACAAATCTGCACATGAAACTTAGTATCCAGCGCTAAGTTTTGCTGCGGAATAATATATACTGTATATTAAAAAGCTACCTGTCAAATTTTGCACAGAAGTGGAGAATAAAAATAGAAATTTTGTAAACTTAAAATTCAGCATTGACAGTTTCAGATTTGGGACCATTCCAATTGTCAATCAAGGACACAACTACTGTTTCACTGTAAATTTGAGACAGCTATGCAAATGAGCTGAAATGTTCTAATGTTCTCTCTCTACTGTCAAACCCTTCAATTACTTGATTTGTTCCATTTTCACGACATGACCCAACTAACAATAGATAGAAAACAAGTCCTTAGTAAACATATATTAGTTGACAGAAAAAGCGTCAATTAGGGAAACTGTGGGGGATAGTTGGGTGATTTCCCATCTCTGCAATTTCAGAACAGCTGTGAAGCCTTTCTTTTCTAGAAGGCTTCTCACTCCAGCTTTTATAACCCCACCCCACCCCTTCCAGCCCTTAAGCAAGTAGCTGAGACACATACTGGTTTGAAACCAAGATATGCTTCTTATTGTTAATCTTGATCTTCCATTCCTATGAGATCATCTTTCTTGATGTTTATATCAAGCTTGATCAGAAACATTTCAGTTGAGTATCTCCTACAGTTGCAAAATAATTCATACCAAACTGCCTACACTTCACAATTTCAGTAAAAATGTAATGGATAAACTATCAACAATTTCTAACATCACTATTTAGCACAATATTGGTGCTCTTGCATTTTGCAAGTAATTGATTGAGAAAGTTTTAAGGAAGACAAAACAAAAGGCAGTTACCAATAAATTCATGTAAGAAGACCAGCGAGGCAATGTAGCATGAGAGGCTGAGTAATTCTGCCACTATCATGAGCCAATGCCACGTCTGGATGGTCAGTGCCACCATCAACAGTTCAGTGATGATCAAGGATGTGAAGGAAATTGCCACAATGTGGACGAATTCGGACTCAAAAAGCAGAAGTGCACCATACATAATTATGCTGCCTGTAATTAGAGAAAATGAAAGAAGGAATTACAGCATCAACCAAAATGACAATTGTTGTAGACTAGCTATAATGTACATGGTTGAATGAAAAGTAATGCCTCCAAATAATCCTTGAAATGAGCTATTTTGCAATACTCAAAACTTTGAAACTAGCAGAGTTCAGAAGCACAAAAAGGAAATTTTGTTGTGACAATACAGTGCTAGGTCTTGCATCTCATGAGCTGCTGAAGAGGCAATTGTGAAGTTGGATCTCACCATTTTACCTTACCCACCATACAACCCAGACTTGACACCATGCAACTGCCACCTTTTTGCCAAACTGGAAGAATACCTTTGTGGGCATTTGCTGGACTCAAATGAAGAGATGGAAAGGACTATCAGGACCTGGCTTAAGAGTGGAGTTCTTTTGTGAAAGCTTTAAGAAGCTTGTTCATCATTGGCAGAAGTGTTTAGTGAATGGTAGTAATTATGTGGAGAAGTAAATACATGTAACAAAAGTGCTCATTTCAAGAATTATCTTCCTGTTTCATTTATTAAAATTATGGGGGTGGAAGCATTACTTCTCATTCAACCTGCGTATGATCAAACCTATTACCCTCCTGATGGAATGAGTCTGTAATTGTCAGCCAGCCCAGTACAAAGCTGTCACAAGGTGGGGAAGGCTGAATAATTCAATCTATAAACTTGCAGGACTGCATCTCCCCACTAGAATTGGCTTTGGTACTTGATCACTGCAGAAGCAGGATTTCAACATTCTGTTATTATACCCTATCAACATAAAATAGAGTTCTCATAGTCCTTGCAGTGTCAGTTTCTTGACCTGGCCTATTCTGAAGGGGAGTTGGTATCATTGTACCAATGCGGTTTCCTAAAGAGAAATGATTAGTGTGTATGGAGTGATTTTATATTTATCTAGTGACTCTGTTTCAACATGATTCATTCTAGCTTTGTAAATAAGCCTGCAAAGCAAAGGAGCCTGTCCTGCAAAAATGTTTACTGGCCTGTTTGGAAATTGGCACAGGAATGCTAGGAAGCTCTGATTCTCTTGTGAAAGCCCAGTCCCATTTCCATACTACAAAATCAGATGGGAACTTTCTTTCTCCTGCATGCTCGACACAGAGGAAGACTGTGCTAGTACGCTCGGATGCTTGCATGTATTTCCACTGACTTCTGTATCTACCAGGCTAGGAACAGCATGCTCCAGTTCCACATCCACAAGGGCTTTCTGCATATACTGTATTTGGAATAATGTGTTGAAACTGGCCTTGCAATTGCTAAAAAGTTTTCTTCCTCTGTGAAACAAGGTTCTATTTTTTTCCTACCTTTATTCTCAGGTCTTGTGAATTTCTTTGCTGCCATTTTTGAGTTTATACTATTGTTGGAGGCAGAAGAGAGTACTACTGTATTTTTTGAAAGACAGCAAACTGTCTTTCACCAAACTTAATGAAAACTTGTAAGAAAAATGCAGAATTTATTATTTTTTACATGACATTAGTTTGAAAACAGAATTAATAATAGGAATAATTTATGACAGGTATATGCCACCCAACTCCCAGCAACTCTGAGCAGTTTACAATGGTTATAACAGCTAAAAACAAAGAACAATACAAAAAACACAAAAACAGCACAAGACAAAAGAAGTATTTAACTGTTAAAGATTTCCTTATAGTATTGCAATTCCTTAGTGGAACAAGTTGCTCAGAGGGCTGGTGGGTTCTCCATCATTAGACATGCTCAAGGTGAGGCAAAACATTCATCTCTCAGGGATGCTCTAATCTGAATTCCCAAATAGAGTTGGGAGCTGGAATTGATGATGGCCAGATTTTGTTAGTAGCTGGCATTTCACAGGGTAGGAACATGAGAATGTAAACAGGCGACAGGCCCGAGCAAGACTGGGAAACAACAAACCAGTTTACCACACACACAGGAGGAAACACGGGAAGAGAGACCACTGGCTTTGAATCCAAGGAAAATATACTTTCAGGAATCAGTGCTCTCTCATACCTGTGTGCATGGATTATTGTTTTCTTCCAACAGTAATCCTTCCTACTTCATAGGCACTGCTTCAAAGCAAGGGCATTGGACTCTATGGCCTAAAAACCTCCTTCCAAGTCTATGATTCTGTCAGCCGCACTAGGTAAACCAGACCAGGAAATCAACTTCACAAAAAGGCTAAAACTATTTTTATAGAGATTGGCTATAATAACAGAATCTTGCAAGTTTGACTGGAATTTATTCTTAGCTATAATCTAAAGCATACATAAGCAGCAAGATCCATTAAGCTCAGCAGGACTTACTGTACATTCACTGACACAGACACACACTCATATGTATATAATAAAGGTAGGTGAGCATGTGAGGAGATGGGATGGGGAGACAAGAATTACTTTGCATTCTGCTTCTGGCTGATCAGAGAATGGCTTCACAATATCCTAGAGATTCAGCTGCAGACATGTCATGTCCTCAGCATGAGTAATCTGCACTGATGAGTAATCCACAGCCTAATTTGAAGAGCAATTTGACCAGTGACTCAAGATTAAGCCATAAAATACAGACTTAGAGAATAACCTTTCCACCATCTGGGTTGAGCTTGGTTTTGGGCCATTCTTGGGCAATAGCTACTAGCCAAATTGCATGGTGTGATCCATCAAGGGGTGAAGTCATCCGACCCACAGAATGTAATAGGAGAAGACTCTTGGCTTAGAAATCTTTCCCACGATGTCTCACTTTTTCTGACTGACCAGAAGCTATGTGTTCTGTATGAAGGCCTTGACACTGTTTCCAGCATGGATTTAGCCCGTGAAAAATAATTTCTGTTGTAATATGCATCTCTATTATTGTCCCAACATGTTTATCTTCCCAACGCTGCTTTTCTAAATTAACAAAGATGACAAAAAGTAGTTGCCCTTGTGAATGAAAAGATATACTTGAAAACGGATGGACAATTGGTTGCAATACTTCTTTTGCTTTAGCAGTGGAATCTCTATCTTACTTCCTGAGTGTGAACCACCACTATTATACTTCATAGCCAGAAAACTGATTTCAGGACAAAGTCTTTTCAACTCCCTCACTGAATTCAATTATTTCTTGGGTTCTAGGCTACAGCTTTCCTTTTCCTTCTGCTGATCAGCAGAAATGCAACTGATGAAAGGCAGATCCCCAAAAGGTATAGCTTCAAGGTATAACTCAGTAAGAATGGTAAGCATGCAGCAAAGCTCTAGGAAGTATTGCTTCAGGCTACTTGGAGTACTTACAAGCTGCAGCTCTTAGTAGAAAAATGGAGGAAGACTTATATGAATGAAGCCCATCAGCTGGACAAAATAGTTTTGGTATGCAGCATTTGACTTATGGAGTGGAAGAAAGCTGTGATAGTAACAATGATTTTGCCAAGGAACATGTGGGAGAAGAGACTGCAACTGTCTTCATTAGAACCACTTTAATGTACCAGCAGTTTCAAGGGTGGAATAACAGCAACAGAACCAAGAACCTTACTATCTGTGACAGCTTGCTGGGTTCATCTCTGCTGTGCTGTAATTCCATCACTGCAGAAAGGGGAATCATAGTTCTGCAAATGGTAGGCATCAGGTGATATAAAGGACCAACAAGAGTCCATCTGATCCTATAAAATTGTTGATCCTTGCTCTGTCTGGCTCACATTGACACTGGAGATCAAACTGCTCTTAGGCTGCATATCTCTGGCTTACCTCCAGACCACTAGTTTTACCAGCCACTCTACATGCTTTCTGCTCAGGGGGAAAGCAGGACCACAGCCAAAGTCTGGGGAAACCTGATCAGTCAGTAGAAACTAAACAGAACTCCTGGTGGTCAGTGAGAGTGAATCCAGGACTCTCCAAAATTTGCCAGCTCTCTTTCTAACTAGTGGAACCAGAAAATGGCAGGATTTCTTTTTTGACAGGGGATTATACAAAGCCAATTTTGGAGAATAATTCCTTTCAAATTTTCAGAAACACCATGATGAACAAAGGAAACCTCTTACCTTGGTAGATACTTATTAAGACCCAGATTAAAAATGTCTTATAAGATAATGGCCTTCCCTAAAAATGAAAGGGCAGAAAAATAAAAATGAAATTCATCTTGTAGGCATTAACCTCAGAGTCACATGCAGAAACTTGAAAGATATAGGAATGGAAGAAACTTTGAACCTTCAGGAGATCTTTGTAGAGCTCTGGGTACAACATGGCCACTACTGCTTTGACATCTTTGTCCAGGACTAGAGAGAATACTGGAAACATGGTGTAGAGGGTAGAATACCTAAAAGCAAGGGACAAGAAATGCCAGCTGAAGTTTACAATAGTCTACCATTTTAGTTTTCTTGGGAAATCCTCTCTTCATTTGTCAAAAGGTAAGAAATATAAATATAAAAGCAGGGGCAATTATGTAAATTTCTAAATTTACCTGTGCCAGAGGTTGTAATCTTTTTGATAGCCATTGGCCAAGGAGTAATGATGCAAAGTGGGAAGACAGAGTGATATATAAGGGTAGAACCCATTTTTTCCCACCTTAGGTTTTTTTTAGAAGGCTTACAGGTCTCCCTCCCTCCCTCCACCTATTTTAGGATCTGCACTACACCTTCTATGTTTCCTACCTCAAAACAGTGGGCAACTGTACTGTAAATACACTAGGACTGCAGACTGCTCACACTATATATATAGAAAATGCATGGCTAAAGTTATGTTGTCTCAATAAGTTGACAGCACCTGGCCAATCTTGTCTGGGTTCAGAAACAAAGCAGAGTTGGATCTGACTAGTCAGTGAAGAGGAGACCACCAGGGAGTTCAGGACTGTAGGCTGGAAGGGAGTTAAGAAAATCTTAGAAGAAGTCAATGGGAAACCCTTTCTGTACCGTTACTACAAAAACTATGTGGACGTGTTTCTATGGCAACCAGAAATCAAAGTTAACTCTAGGGCATCTATGTTAAAACTGTGTAAGTGCAGTGTTTTACTACTACTCCTGCTAAATAACCCTGAATATTAAAATTTTAAGAGAGGAAGGACTGCATGTCCTAAGAAGCTATTTAATACCATTCAGTGTCTTAATTCAACCAGGTCAGGATGCTCTAGTGACTGATTCTCTTTCTCAGCATTTGTTACTGGATACTTTGAACTGGAAAAGATCAACTCCTGGGACCGTCTGAATACAAATTAGATACTCTACTACTCAGCTGCTAACTTTCCCCCATTGTTGATGTCTAAGAGCTGCCTGACCTCTGAAATATAAATTTTGTTAAAGAAAAAAGTAGTAAGTCTTATGTGCTGCATAAATGTGGCAACCAGATTTGCAAAAAATGCACATGTACACATCAAGAGTTGGAACTGCTTGCATTTTCTTGGCCAGATTGTATTTTGAACCAAACCTCAAAGTATGCTGCTATATTATGTGTGAAATGGTCCAAAGATCCAGGACTTAATTTTATCCCAAACGCAACAGGACTCAGCCTCAAACCTTTCTTATGCTGCTGGGCTTTCACCCAAAAAATGGTGAGGTGGGGCGCTGGCATTAATTTTATTTTTTTTTCTGCAAAAGAGACATATTATACAAGCATGGCCGCACAATTTTATTTACTTAAAAAAATCTGCACCCTGCTTTTTGTTTTCAGAAGAGACACCCCCCCACACACAACATTGCTTCTGGGATACAAAAGTTGCTTTAACAGCTAAAATTGGTCCTAATAGGATCCATGTGCTTTTCATGGTTGCTGGATTAAAGTTGCTTTGAAACTGTGCATCTTCAAAGTCTCCTGTTTTATTCCGATAACAGCAGTGGAGGCAGGAAGGAAAGAGTGCGACATTTTAGTCCATGCCACTCATTGCCATGAATGTTTTCAAAGTCAGGAAGGCTTCAAACAAATCTCATTATACATTTTAAAGATACTACAGGGAATGGCTTGGCTCTTACCCAATTATGAGAAAGCCTTGATAGAGGGGAACAGAAGCAAAGTAAAACACCGAAGAGAAAACTGCCTATGGAAGAAAACACAAGGAATTATTAGGCTTCAAAGCAAAAACAAAATAGAACCAGTGACAAATATCTGTGCAGCTGTCTCTTAATGGAAAGGGTTGGTCCTTCATCATTTGGCAACTGAGATAAGTAGTAAAGATTGGCACTCAGCATTCACGAATGAGAAGAGACCACAGGTGTCTTCTCTACCCACAAAAGATTTGGCAATTTAGAAAAGGAACCATTGTTGCTCATGGCAAATTAAATCCTACTTTTTTTTTTTTTTTTACTATGGTTCCAAAAGATATGCCTACTCGATAAGATTATAAGTGATGCAGAGGGTATGTGCACCTGTATATATGCAAGATATCAAATGGAAAGAGAAATGGTCCCAAACCAGTGTAACTCACTGACAAACTACTATCTGCTTCCACACATGGAAGAGAAACCATATGAGTTGAACCTGAGAGAGTAGGAAATTACACTGTAAGTTCTGTTTACACCATAAACAGAAACAATGCACAGTCCTTGTTTAACTGATTTCTTCTATTTGCGCTGCCTTTGGGAGCAGTCATTCAAAAAAAAAATGAAAATCCTGTGCGTGGGTTTTCACTTTCACTTCCTGATCCTGTCTAGGGCCAAATGAGCAGAGGACCCTAAAGACAGTACAGTAACACCACTGACCTGCATGGTACTGATGCACAAGCTTCTGTGGATCACAAATTGGCTGAGAGCAGCAGATCTTTTGTAGCTATTTCTTCCATGCACCATCAGTAATCGGCCCAGGTGCTTAAACTGAGTGATGGAGAAATCTGCTGCAAGAGAAGCTTGTTTCCCTTCCTAAGAACACCATGAAACATAAATATTGAGAATCTCCATCGTCAGATTACAAAAACCAGAATTCTCCTGCCACAAGAACAAACATTGTTCTAGTTCTGAAGCATATTCTCCCTTTATCAGCCCATACGTTCATTACAATCAGGCATATGCCTATGAACATGGCATGTGCCTTTCCCATAGTGCTCCTTTTGGTTGACTTGCTGTGCAATTCTATGCATGTTACTCAGAGGTAAGCCCATCAGTGTTTAGTAGAGTTTACTGCCATGCAAGCATATGCAGACTGTAGTCTTAGAAGACGAAGCATTTTCAAGATCATTTTCAGTTTTCTTCTTTTATTTATCATTATTTATTTATAGCACATTTCCCCCCCCCTTTTTTTTTTTTACCATTATCAGATTGCAAGATAGACTCTAACCTATGATTAGATTTTTATCCCATTTACATCTAAGAGCTCAGAAGGGCATGTTTGATTTTCTCCTGTCATCTGCAGAACAAACCAGAAACACAAGCTAATCTGAGAGGCAGTCATGGGCATCTGAGATGGGGAGGGAGGGAAGGAAGGGACACAGGCATCAGAACATCATATGTCATTGCACAAATGATGTGAATTATGTAATTTGTGTGTCAGTCACATCATTTGGGTGATGATATTATGACACGTGATGTCATCATGGCTTACACTAGATGTTACGGATGCTGTGACTATCTCAAGATTATTTCATAAATTCTACGGATAAGAGGGAAAATATTGTGAAAGCAATCCCCCAGACTCTTAAGTTAGGAATAAAATCAGACTATAAAGGTGCAGGACCACAGTTTAACCAAAAGCATATGTCTTAAATTGGGTCCAAAAGCTTAAAAGGCTTGACACCAGCCAAAACTATGAGTGAGACCATATCATATCTGTAGGTTCAGAAGAAAGGTTTTAACTTTTCCACTGTGTCATGCCTATTTTAGGGATTATACTTACATTTTTATGATTTTCTCATCTTAAAAATAGAAATAAGTAATCATTGCCCGAGGAGGAGGAGTCTTTGATGAACAAAGAAACCTTTTCTCCAGAGAGCTTCCAAGATTGCATTCCATGAATTAGATGATAGTCCAAGTGATATTATGACAGACTATCCATTGAAATAAAGTATATCCCTCTTTCCTTAAGTCCCTATCAGTATGACTGATTCGGACTAAGTATGACTGGGTTCGAACTAAACATTATGTTTTGACTTACCTTTCCTTCAACACCAACACCACAGTCTGCCTCCTGAATCATACTGACATCATTTCCACCATCACCTGTAACAGACAACATCAAGGAAAACCTTGAGTTGCTTTTAGCGCTAGCAGTCCAAGTATGTTCCATAGCTATTCTATAGTATGTTTCTGTTTTCAAAGATTTATCAAGGTAAGAAGAAAACAGAAGCTGTGGTGTGAAACATGGGGAATTACAAATGGAAAACTGTTCCTGAGTCTACAGTGTAAAATTATGTGAGTGAGGCAGCTGTAAAATAAGAGCCCTGTTTGGAACTACTCCTGGTATTAAAACCAACACTTACAGCCTAATTGGGCATACATTTTGTTGCTGGACTGAAAAGGGGACCGTTCCAACATAGCAATGCTTCCAGTTGTTTGGAACACTTTTGTACAGCCTTAGAAGGCAAGCTGAAGTGATGGGCATGGACTCAAATGGGGTGTATGAACATCCAAGTTTACCTGGATGTTTCTAGTGAATGAAACAGCTCATAACCTCAAGCTAATGATTTTTAACTAGCAGGTGAAAGAAAAACACACCCTCAGAGACAAAGAAACACAAATCTTCCCCTATGTGATGAGATGGATACATTTGAAACACATTTGGCTTAAGTTCACAAGTTATCTGGAAGCCACACATGGCAAATGGTGGAAGCAGTGAATCACAAGAACATCCCGTTTTTGCAGTTTTCTTTATGGTTGAAAGCCAGTTCCAGTTTCCCTTGCTAGCCAGGGCTGGATCTGCTTAGGTTTTACTTGGTCTGTTATAGCTAACCATAAAGAGACAAATCATTTTAGCTTTAGAGTTCATAGCTGGCAATGATGTTCTTTTGAATCGTTACAATAATGGATTCCAGAGCTTAATTATACATGCAACATAAAATAAAAAGAACAGCAGGCTGGGTATTCTAATATCACTTGCAGTTTAGTGTTTCTTTGGACAATTATTCCAGGTCACTCAATACAGATTTCATTATCTCTTTTCACATTTTAACTATACTATGTCTTTTCTCAGGATCATGATGAGTAAAATAAGCAAGCAGAGTAATTAAATAAAAGAGCAGAGCATTTTTCTCAGTGCCTGCTTACAAGAAAAGCAGAGACAGCAAAACATGATGGCTAAAATTAAAACCCACAAATTTGGGGAATAGGAGCTAGACCTGCAGTTGTCGAAAATACAAAACCTTTCACTATTAGTAGCCACTCAAGTTGGAACTGCAATTTCCAAATGAAAATCCCCTTAAGAAAAGTTTGCATGTATGTAACTAGGGACTGAATTTAAAATGTTATTTTCTTTCATTATGAATACATTCTTCCTTAGGAAGAACTGTACTTTTAGCTTGCCTGGAACATTTCTGAATTTAAATCCATGGAAATAAAGAGCAGGGCTGATACATAGGGCCACAGATACTGCTGGGTTTATGCTCCTCAAACACTCTGTCACCCAATATGGGGTGAGGAAGAATTGTCTCATCTCTCTGACAACGTGAACTCTGGAGATGTAGCACAATGATCATGCTTTGCTGCAAAGATTGGGAAGGCTTCTCAATAAACTCGACCGATAGCTTATGTGCCATCAAGTCACTATCAACTCTTAGCAACCACACAGATAGATTTTCTCCATGACGATCTGTTCCAAGAACACCAAAATATCTATCCTTATCATGGGATGGTTCGATTGCTATTCTGCAAGTGAGCAGGACGTTAGACTCAATAGCTCCTTCCAACCTTCTCTACATTTTGTCCCAGCTTATCACACATGGATGCAAAGGGCTGCCTCATAGCTACATACATGGATTTACTTTCCTTCAGGCAGTGGCTCCTTTCACTTCATGGGGTGCTGCTTCAGAAACTCTCCAATCTTTTTGTAACCCCAGAGAAATGGAGAGCCCCTGGGTATGTGGTTTTTAAATCACAGCTTTTCTCTCTTTTGCATGCACGGATGAACCGATGTACAAAAAAGACGCTGAACTAGAGAATCCCATTGGAGAATCCCTACTGTGAGAGATTGCGGGGAGGCTGGGAAAGGAAAGGAAAGTAGACAGAAACAATTGAAAGACCGAAGGGGAGTCCATTGGTAGCTTATTTTACAGATGGCAACTTAGCCCAGGTGGCCAGAAACTAGGAAGAAATCTTTCAAAAAGACTCCTTAATGAGTTCACTGTAAATGAAGGTTGGACATTCCTCTTGCAGTTTTGAAGATTCTGTATATACTCCAAGACTAGCCTCAAAGATACCTTACTAAAATCTGTGTATTTCTTGCTTCCTTGTCACCTGTGTGGGGCTTGACACCTACCTACTGCGCAGGTCAGCTTCCCAGTTCTCTCCTTGAGTAAGCGTACAATCTGAGCCTTTTGTGTTGGGGCACATCTGCAGCAGACCACTGCTGGACACTGGCAAGCCAGTTCCATGAACTCATACTCATAGTATTTCAAGCATACCTATTCCATGAAAGAAACAAATGTGGTAATGGGATGCAGAGATTCTTTCCTTTGCCAACCCCCGTCCCTTGTAAGAGCTTGATGTACTAGATCAGTGTTTCTCAATCTTGGCAAATTTAAGAAGTGTGGACTTCAAGTTCACACTTCTTAAAGTTGACAAGGGTGAGAAACACTGCACAAGATGAATTTGTGCACAAGCCTTTCTGGCCATAGCTATCACCTGCTGCATAAGCAGGAGCTGTGAGTCCAGCCGGCTTCTCACCTCCAAGGAATCCCCAGAAATCACCAGGGCACAGTCATGCTTGCGGCGGAAGGCATTCAGCTCCAAATGTGCTTCTCCACGGTTGGTCACCTGGACAGGTAGACAGGAGAACAGGTAGCTTGAGTTACATAAAAACTTAATGTCAGCAGAGAATGCAGCATATGTGGACGTGGGTGCCAAAATCTGCAAGATGATGGGTGCAGTTTCTTGATCCAAGCCCTGCCACTTTTGTATTTGTGGGTCTTCCTTCCTTCCTTCCTTCCTTCCTTCCTTCCTTCCTTCCTTCCTTCCTTCCTTCA